CTTGTAATTACTTGAAGATGATGAGGGTGAGAGAGTAAATATGTTATTTTCGAAACCAAAAAAAAAAAAAAATTTGATGGCATTTTCGTGAATTATATGAACTTGTGGGGTGAATTGGGCAAAATAAAGTTCCAAAAAAAAGGGAGGTTAGTTTTGTGGTTGACTTCAAGTTTCAGGTCAATTCTGCAAAAAGCCCAAGTTAAAATCAGTGTCCGTGTGCTTATTTTACCAGGAAGTACGGACAACGAAGGCAAGGGATTAGATAGAGAGGCAAACCGGACACGCATCACGTGATTTCTAACGATTCGATCACTACGAATTGCCATTCCAATCTAGCCAATTTTGAGTCAGAACTTGCCATGTGGACACGTGCGATTCCCGCATCTCTAACATCAACGTATGCCCCAATGACTCCATGTGATCATTTTCAGCTAATTTTTTTTTGAAAAGAAATGATGTGTGCTAATGTTTATCTTTTAAATTCTTAAGGGTTTAAGACTAATTAATTTAACCGAATCTAAGCTACTCAACTTAGTGCAAACTGAGTACTGATTGATTGTAAATACGGACTGATTGTTGATATTTTGTAAACAATAATATGGCATTGACACACATCAAATTCATTGTTTATATGAAAAGTACACCAATAGAACGATTAGGAACTAAACAACTGAAAATTTTGTTTTACATGAAGCGAAATGATGAAACACGTATTTATAGTTACAAGACTAAGCTTTTAAAAAAAATATATATAACGGGTGTTATGTATTAAACGAATGAAAAATTTGACAACATCGATCATATAGTGAATTTATATTAGAGAATCAGTACAACAGCAACACCAAGGTAAAACGGAGGAAAGGTACACGACAAAGTAAAAATCTCACCAGCTGGTCAAGTCATTTTTAGCAACCGTTTTGACACGCTATTAGGACAAGGAGAGTGAGCTATAAGAACATCTTTATCAGGGGTATTTAAGAGGGTTTTTAGGGGGAAAAAGTAAAGTAGATCCCACGAAAAGAGAAGAAACGTGATCTTCTGTCACGAAATAAGGAACGTGTTTTGTTGGGGTTTTTACACTGTACAGCGGGCCCCACGACAGCAGGCCCCACAACATGTGGCGGCCGCGATAAGTTGTCTTCTTCTTTTTTTTTTTTTAAAAAAAAAATCGGACAAAACAGAAAAAAAATAAATAAGAAACTGACCTCACGTTTTGCGATAAAGATGCTCTAAGGACTAGATGTTAGGTCTCCAAATTCATTCTATCAATGTATAAATAATGAATCTTAGGGTTGTAAGAAGTCAAGTTAATAAAATCGTAAAACTTCAAATTTATTGTATGAGATCTCCTATATTCTGTTTTACCTTCAGTATATCCACCGACGAACATTGGTAAAAAATTTAAATCGAAGGAACACATTATGAAAGTGTTAAGCCCAAAAAAAAAAGGTGTTCTTCAACCTCTGGACCATTCGTCGGATCTTTAGTGGGTATAGTCAGAAAATATTTAGACCTATGATTAAATGTTGATATTGAAATGACTATGCGACCTACGTGAAAACATATAAATGTTCACTTAACACTGACGAAAACAATTAACGTTGGTGTTTTTTTTCATCGGAACAAGGGTGTTCTTTGAGTTTTTTCAAAAAAAAAAAAAAACAAGGGCGTTCTTTGTGGAAATAGGTTTCAAACCATTCGAGATTAGCATCTCAAAAAAGGAAAACCACGTTCATATAATAGTTGTATGATTATAATAATTTGAGTAAATATTCAAAATTTAAGTCCCCTACATTATATAGTAGTTGAACCAATTATAAAGCGAAGTTAATATATCCCTTATATATTATTTACAAAATGATATTGATACATGTACTTTTTATAATCATTTTCACTAAATTAATATGACATTATATATTTGAAAGATAACATGTCTAATGACTTAATATGACATAGATAATTATATTTAATGTATACTTATATTTTTGTAAACTTTTTAGAATATTATATTAAATTATACATCATCATTATATAAATCTATTCAAATTAATATTAAATAATATAATTATAGAAACATAATAGTATTTTTTAAAAAAAATTGAAATATTATTTATTTTTACAGAAATTCTCTTGGATAAATTTTTAGTTTATTTTCACAAAATAACACTCAAGGAAAAAATGACCAAAATAAATTTTTATTAAAGGGTAAATATGCATTTATACCCCTAAGTTAACTAATCTACACTTAGAATTTAGAATTAAGGGATGGGTTTTTGGGTCTAGGGTTTCAAATTTAAAAAATAAAAAATAAATATTGTAAATTTCAAAACAAAAAGGGACTATGTTGATCATTTTATTTTTTGAAGGCTATTTTGTGACAAAAACTTAAAAATTGCTATTTAAGAGAATTTCTCTTATTTTTATGATTATACAATTTATTAATAAAATTATTTTCAAATTTTATGATTATACAATTTATTAATAAAATTATTTTCAAATTCTTTATCTTTTACAAAATTAGAAATTTTAAAGCATACATTATTGACTTCTTTTATATATCTACAAGTTTTAGAAATAATGTTTAATTGCACTCTTTAATAATTATACAACTTTTGTATCAATTTTATATCAGTTTTATACAAGTTGATTTTAAATTTTGGTAAAAAGCTAACATTTTTTAGGTTTAAGTTTTAAATTTATCACTGCAGGTAAACATCTAGTTTTTTAGTCTTTTAAAAAAAAAATCTAGTTTTTTAGTAAAGCAAACAAATAGTCAATATTCTCCTTTTCCCATCGCATTTTGCAGAAATGAAAAAATTAAGGCTTTACATTTACTTCAACAAAATGGTTCTTCAGATATACCGTAGTTTTACAAGTCTACACTACTTCTCTAATGGCCCATTTGAAACAAACGCCAGGATTAATGGACCTTTATGTGGGCCGACATTTCTCATTGATTGTATAATTTCTAAGGAAAAACCAGGTCGCTTTTCCTTTATCGTAATTTAGTTGAAATCTAACTAAACTACCAACGACACCAATGCACCTCTTAACTTTAATATGGCAAATATCTTTCAGACACATCACTTTCAGCTCTTCTGTTTGATTTTCTTTTCTATTTTCCCGAATCCGATAGCCTTATCATTTCTGGGTTTTAAACTGAATAAATTTCGGCATAAGAAAAAAATTGTATTTTTCCTCCCTTATATTTATATATAGTAAGATTGAAATATTAATCTAATAAGTTCTGTTCACCATTAATGTGTGGTATGTACATTTTATAATCTATATAATTGAGGTCACAGTATATAGTGTAGAATAGTTATCTAAAATATATGGTGATAATGTGACTGTAAAGCTACACAAGTCATTTGTCAGATTCTAACAAGAGAATCTTAGTGGTGATCACGCAAAGCTAAGATCTTTGCCTCACCATTTAAAGCAAACAAACTTTGTCCTAACCTTACATAGGACATCAGAGTCACTACTCAGAAGCCACAACTAACTTTTTCCTCTTTAAATCTTCACCTATTTACTATAATTTACACGTTTTTTTGCTTTTTGGACAACACACGCTTTTTTGCTTTTAACTGATTTCCGATATTAAATGCATGTCAATCTGGGACTTAATGTTAAAATTATTATAAACCTCGGATGAAGGTATATAAGATGAACACAGCTAAAGCCTATAAAGCATAGATTTATAACTTATAAGTAGGACCTAAAGTTATAATGTTAAGCTTCGTACAGTAGCTAACTATATATATATATTCAAACAATTAATTTTCAATCGTAACTAAATATATGTAAGTTTTTTTTGGCTAAATGTAAACTAAATATATGTAAGTCAATAAAACATCGGACATCTTTTCAATTTGCTTACATTTGTAGTTGCGAGAAGATATGTATTCAATGAATGTAATTTAAATTGAAAGGCATTTTTTGCTAACTTACATTGTGTAAAATTTAAAGTTGACAATTAAATTGTGTGTCCTCTTATCCTCTACGCAATTTTCAAATGTTTTAACATACTTTTTATTTATTTTTCATTTACTGAAAATGATAAAGATAAAAGACATATCTGTATATTTCGGGTCCATCTCTATATTTATTATTTACATCATTATCTATCAACCTCATCTTCTTCTCTTCTTATTCTCCATCTTCTCTACTGAGATTTTTCCCTACAAAAACTCATCCTTGAATGCACGGTGGTGCATGGATGTGGAATCATAGCAAAAATGAAGAACTGGAGGATGATGATGATTCTTGGGAAGTCAAAGCCTTCGAGCAAGACACTAAAGGCAACATCAATGGTACCACTTGGCCTCCAAGATCTTACACTTGCAACTTCTGCCGCCGTGAGTTCCGTTCTGCTCAAGCCTTAGGCGGTCACATGAATGTCCACCGCCGCGACCGCGCCTCTAAGGCTCATCAAGGTCCTGCCGCCGCAGTTGCGGCTAGAAGCGGTTGCGGAAGCGGAGGCGGGAGGACAACGTTTCTCAGTTCTTGTGTTCCACCGTCGACAACGCTTATAATTCAATCCACGGCGAATAACAGTGAAGGTTTGTCCCATTTCAACCAATTGCAAAACCCTAATGGCATGTTTTGTAATTCTAGTGACATGGTAAACTTTTATGGTACTACACCGTTTCATTCGAGCAACCTTGAGTTTTCCTTGTTGAATTCGCCGGTAGAGGTTCCTCCTATGCTTATACAATATCCAACGGGAGATGATGAGAGCACTAGCTCGATGAAAGAGATGGAAAGATCATCAGTGAATGAGCCTGATCTTGAACTTCGACTAGGGCACAAGCCACCGTGACAATTCATATTCGTGACACACTTCAGGTCTTTCATATCTATATCCATTCATACAGAGGTTGTTTACATCTTAAATTACATTTGTTGTTAAATTCTGAATTCAAAATTTGGTTAGTTGTGTATCACAATTAAATCCATACTATTTCATGCTTGGCTTCCCTGTTTTCACATATACATGTGCCTAAGTTTATACAAAGAGAGGATGCGTACTATAGTCCCTTCATGTAAACACCAAACCCTTATAGATGTGTATATACTCTATAGTTAGCATCTCAGAAATCCCTAAGAATCTATATATGTGTTGATGCTTACATGGTTTAGATTTTCTTGAAAGTATTAAACATGTTTTTTCCCCTTCATATTCCAACTACAATTTAATGGCACTGATTTATATTACAGACCTGGTCGAAATTTAAATTCAGATATAAATATTGCTCTTGACATCCGAATGCTAGCTCAAAACTTTCGAACTATTTAAATGTGTCTTCAAATTATACGTAAAAGCCTAAAAGGTGTACTATAACAAAAGATAATATATATCCTGTAATTTACTACCATAATCTGAAGAAGACAATTTGTTCTTACCATTTCCACATGCTTTAGGGATTTGGAGTATTGTGCTGAAATACATATTATATTATATATAATTATGTTTTTAAAGTTTTTTTTGTCAAAATGTCTTTAAAGTTCATAATTAATATCGCACCACATTAAAATAAAGTGGTTAAAGATTGTGATAGATAAAAATACAATATATAAAAAAATTATTATAAAAGAAAGATTGATTAAACTAAAACAAACAAAATCTATTTAAAACTATATTAAAATTTACAAAAATAAACTATTGAGAAAAAAAAATTATAATAAATATTTTATAAGAAGATTTGTTATATATTAATGATGTTAAATACAATAATATAATGGATGTTATTATGAAGATGTTAGATATCTTATAATAGTCTAGTATTATGTATGATTATGTGTTAGGAGATTTGAAGTTTGTTATTAATGTAAAATTGTTAAAGGAAAATATGCTAGAAGTATATTGAACTATATAGCAAATTACTAATCTTAAAATGAAAACTATAATAAGTTTTTAATCTTAATATTAATGCTAATCAATGTAATAATGTAGTGAATTATATTATGATGATGTTAATTATGCCATAATAATTTGTTAATATGTGTGAGTAGGTTGGAGAATTAATTTATTGTTAATGTAACATTTATTTCCGTTTAAAGTTTACATTTTTAAAATTATTTACAGGATTCATAATAATCATATATTTATTCACCAATTATGTTTAGTTTTAAATAATATAATTTTAAAAATATATTTTTAGAACTTTTTTTGTTTATTTAGAGGGACTGCATTTCAAAACATTTGGTACTACTAGTGAATATTGATTTTATTTAATTGTTTTTGGCTTTCTATATTATGAGAGAATATTAAAAACGCCTATCTTAATATAAAATTTAAACATACACATTATGTGGATTATTACTTTAGGTTTTAATTTTTATGTTATTCATATATCTTAATCTATTATTCAAAAGTCGGTATTTCAAAGTTGTAAGCTACTATGATCGCGATATGTCAAGTCTATTGATCAAAATTGAACGTATATTAAAATATTTAAGATATACAATAACTAACTTACAATAGTTTTTATAGTGTGTGATTATTTTTAAGAAAATTTTATGTTATTTTCCTAAGATTTATTAATATGTTTTATTTTAGATTCATCAAAATTCTAATTTAGTTTCAGTTTTTATAACCATTTTTGGTAATCCTTGTTTCTTAAAAGCTTATTTGTGTTTTCAGTTGTGGTTTATAAATAAATAACTTTGGAGAATATAATCTAAAAAATATTTATTCATTATTGAACAAAGTTTTTGTAAGCTGTGTATTTTTGGAAAAAAATTCTGTGATATTAAGTTTTGTGTGTATTGTGTTCGCACAAAATCATGCCAATTGAGAATAAGTATAATGGTTAAAAAATTTAGATGAAAGAATTAAATGATCACAAGTTTGGATTTAAGGAACACCAAGCACACCAATAACCTACCGGTAGATGTGGAGGCGTTTTTTTATTACTGTGAGTGGTTACGGTTGGTGCGCTGCAGCACTGTGAATCTAGGGTCCACATGACTTTTTGTCAAAAATATGTTCTCAAAAATTATTAATTTCACATTGTTTAGGTTCACTATAACAAGATGTACGGACTTACCTTGCTCCTACTCAGTAAAATAACTGTGATGTTAGTTACATGCTATTGATCTTGAAGTTTGTATGGTCTGTGAAGGCACTGTAAGTGTAAGGCGTGGCGTGTTCAGTGCTCGAGCCTCAAGCAAGGCATTATGAGAGCGAAAGAAATAGAGATTGTTGAGGGAAAAAGAATGTTACCTCTACTTAATTTTTTTTCCTGGTTATGTTGCTTCTGAATTCTGATGGTATGCATTAATTATCCAGTTCTCTATCGAAGTTATATACTTATAGTTCAATCTAATTAAAAAGATACATATATAGAAAAATAAACGTTACAATAAACTTAGGGTAAAGGCAACATGAATCCAAATGGAAGAAGATTTGAGGACCACATGAAAAAGGAAGAAGAGATAGAGAAGGCATGTGAATTCTTTTTAATTCGTTGCATGTTTCTTCTTACTCAGATCCATTTCTGTCTCCACATTCATATTTATTTATTTATTTCCTGTTTTTGTTAACATTTTTTCTGTTTCAATATATCAATATGTAGACTCTTTTTCTTTTAAATTGAAACCCAAATTTTGGTACGACTGCCAAAATCTGTTAATGTTTTTTGACATTATTTTGTCTAGGACCCCCACATGTGAAATTCAGTAACATTTCAAAATAGGCCATTATTATGTTGTTCTTCTTCTAGTTTTGGTCCCCGCTTCCTCACCATATCTAGCATCATACGTAATGTTTATTTTACTGATATACTCGACAAGTGGGTTTTCGATTCATACTTGCCAAGATTTACACCAATCATGCATGTATTGACGATATATGTACTACCACAATATATAAAAAAATTCTACAAGATCATATTCAAATTTGATTCTTATATCAACCCAAATGTATTTTTGCTCTAACCGTTTAAGCTAATCTCACTTAGAGAACAATGCCAAATTTATATCTTTATAATTATGTCACTTGCGTTCATCTTTTTTTTTGGTCGAGTACTTGCGTTCATATATCAGCAGTTATTAGGGTTTTAAAGTAAGAAAATGTAAATTTACTTGTTTTTGCTTTAAAAGAGGTCAGAAACATACCGACCAAGATTCGAGTAAAAAGCAAAACTGAGATATGAATTTGTTGGTATGCAAAAAATATACATTAAATATTGATGGTAAAAAGAATTAAATAAAAGAGGCATTTTGGGATTTGGGATGTGAGAGATGAACAGTCCATTGAATCAGTGAGATAAGAGTATTTCACTACAATGTCTTCTTATGCTCAGGAAAGGTTCGAATCCACCATATGAACCATCCATTGTCGCTTTCACCTTTGTTTACATAAATCGAAAAAACGTTGGTTTGAAATTATTGACAAAAGTATTATTTATTCAGTTTCAGTTAAGTATTAACTACTGCTTTTATGCAAAAAAAAAAAAAATACGGCCTAAAATGGGAAGTTTATCCATATCATGTGAAATGCAAATACCAATCTCATTTTTGTTCTAATTTCACAAAATAATTTTTTGCACTCCATCAAGGCTGGAAAGCAGTGTTGCAAAAACCTTTCACTGTCTCATTTGGGGATCTCTGAATTGATTTTGTTCAGTTGACCGTGAGTTGATCTTAAGAAAACGAGCTTCCTATTAATATATCTTGATTAATTGGTTGAGTTTCAATAGTTTACCCGCTTATTTCATATATTTAAACTTTTGACCCCAATGGTTTTTCTTCCCAGCTCCGCCACTGATCCTACCAGTTATAGCAGTGCACTTAATTGTGGCTTAGGATATTTCTAACAGCTTCATCAGAAACTTGTCCATAGCATCACCTATCTATGGAACCGTCCAAAAATTTGTTGAAGTTAGTTGTGATCACTTGTTTTCTATTATATCAAGAAAATTTGGCAATTGGCTTTCTCAACAACTCTTGGATCTCCTTTGTTATCAACATACCAAGTCAACTAGGGGCTGGCCGGGCTGCATGCACCATCATTAAAAAAAATTGATTTCGATCAGAATAATGCGAAATGTTGAGTGCCCCTATGGCCCTAAGCAAGGTCTGAGATCCAGGTTAGTCTCTTTGTTTTGCTCCTCGAATATAGAGAAGATAAACCGACTCGGATAAGTGATCGTTTTGTCCATCTAAACCTAAAGTAGAGGATGGTTTATAAGTGTTAGATTGGCCACGTCCAAATGAGCTTTGTTTAGAGGATATTTTGTCTCTTAAGAAATTCATGATCCAAATTTAAATAAAATACAGATCTAAGTATAACCAAATCCAAATATAATCATATGACTAATTGAGGTGTCACAAAATATATAATATTTTTTTTTTTTGTAATTTGGTCACTTCTAAGGTCTAGAGCTACATATCATGCAAAGAACGAGTACTGCTTCTTCGTTAGAATCATTTCTCAACTTGAACAAGACTAAAAAATCAGAATGAAGACAAATAAAAATAAAAGCTTCACGTAGCTGCTCCTCTTATTAGTTCTAAACACTTACTTTGCTTCTATCTAATTTATATTTGTACAAAGTCAATGGTGGCTCAAGACAATTTACAAAACTTTAAAACACAAAAGGGTAATAATGTTTTGTTCAGCTACTTTATCTATCTTGTGTTGTTGTTGTTGCCTTCAGTTTCAAGCTTATGTACCCGTAGGCGTAGCCTTTGCTGGTGATGGTGAAGCTTCCATAGACCATTTCCCAATACAACAGCTGAGTATATGCCATGTGTGATGATAGGAGCCAGAAGATTGTTTGTCTGCAATATTATTTTTTCAGTTATATGATCTTTTGACTTGGATAAAGAGAATGGAGTTAGTAATAATACAAACCTGAATCCATTCAAAGCCAAGATACAGACCCAACAGCCCTTCAAGAAGAGGCGAGTAGATTTTCTTCATCTGTCTTCTCTCGTACCACGCTGCAGGATAGAACATAGACAAGTGTTGGATTGTGTAAAAAAACATTTTCTAAAGCATTAATACTAATTACGCACCTGCAAACAACTTCTTCAGCTCTTCACGTGCGGAACGAGTTTTCAAGACGGGTGCCATTATATAAGTAGGATCTTTAGGTGAAGCAGCGATGTAATAGAGAGAACCAGTGAGAGCGGCTGTAATAGCGGCTGCAAATGCTCGAGCAAACGGTACAAATGGAGGCAAGATTCCTGTCTGCAACATTTTTTAATAGTTTGAAGTCAATTTAAAAGTCTTAAGAAAAAACATGTGTAGAAAGAAGAGAGAGCATACCAAAGCGACCATTCCACGAGAATCCGAGATGAGATCTGTGCCTCTTAGGAATATATCAGCTAATGCACCTTGAAACGCAGCTCGATAAAAGAGCTCTTCTCCAATTGAACTAGCAGTAACTACTAAGATAAACTAAAGAAAAAGACAAAATGGTAACCAATTCTTGTAAGTCTCAAAAACATTCTATTTTTAGGAGTTATTACTCCATCCGTTTCAATTTAATTGTCATTCTATAATTTTGCACACAGATTAAGAAAATAATTAATTTTATATATTTTCAAAATAAAAACACAATTACATATACACCTAAACACTTTTCAACCAATGAAAAAATAGAATAACATTTAAAATCAATAAATTTTGCATTGAAATTATAAAACGACACTTATTATGAAACAAAAATTTTACTCTAGAATGACATATAATTTGAAACGGAGGGAGTATTATTAACCTGCCAAGCAGACATTCCATGGAAGAAGCCACGAAGCTCTTCATCTTCAACATCTCTAATGGCACGAGCATGTGGTGACACCTTCACAACTTCATCCTAAAACAAGAAACAATAATCTCAATCAACACACAAAACCATCAAAAGAGAGAGAGATGCCTTACTCTACTCTTAAACTTACATCAAGAATGAAGAGAAGAGCCATGATTGGTGGAGAAGCAAAACCAAGACCAGCAATAATAGCATCTAAAGAAACACTAAAACCACCACTGTAATCAATCCCCGCTACTTCACATATAAACCTTCCCGCCATTGCCATCCCACAGTATATTCCTTTTTCCACATTTAAAAATAAAATCCAATTTTTTAATTTTACATTAAAAAAAAGTTTAAAACTTTCTTTCATAACAACCACCGAGTTGACTCACCGATTCCGTAACTCAGCCTCACAACAGCTCCGATCTTATCCCAATCTCCGCCGCTTCCACCGACAAACTCCCCCACCGACGTCACCTCTCCCGAAGCTCCGGCCAACCCCCCGCTTCCGAAACTTCCCACCGTCGTTACATCTCCCGCCAAACCCCTCGCCGCCGTCGCCGCCGTCGCCGCCGCCGTCGCCGTATCTCCGTCGGTGTCGATCACTTCGCCGCTGCTCTGTCCCGACGAAGACGCTTTAACTTCCCTCGATTTCTCCAAAGAAAGACTCTTTCTCTTCCCGCTACGCCTCCGCAGCTCCGATCTCGAACTCGCCGGAGAATCCAAGAGCCTAGAGCTACGGTTACTCCTACACCATGAAGAAGACGACGGAGAAGATGAGAAAGCGAGTCTCGTCGTACCACAAGTCAGCAAAGGAAGTCCCATACTCTCAGGCGAATACGCCGGTTATCTCGCCGGAGACTCTGTTCTTCATTAGAGAGAGAGAGACTCTGTTTTCAGTGTATTTATTTCTATTTTTTTTTCAAAGTTGTGTAAAAGTCTTGACCGTTGGATGATGGAGATGGAAGTAATCCAACGGTTGCAGGAGAGGTTTTAATAGAGACCACTCAAAGCTGACGAAGTTCCACTTGGACTTGACTACTTATTTTCATCCGCTTTTACATGTCTACACGTTACTATATTTTTTTGTTCTCTTTGTGAATGAACTCTAATGGGCTTTATTTCAAGTTATTGGGCCTCAGTGCGGATGATTTCCTAAATGGGTGACTTTTTTGGGGCTGATCCGATGGGTTCTGGTATGAATAAGACCTTGTGACTAATACCAAGATGTGGACTGATCATTTATTACGGTCTACTATGTTAATCGCTTGGATAGAAATTTAAGTCGAAACTGGCCGACTAGTCATAATTTAGTTTCCGATGGAAATTGGATACACATTGGATTCTATTCATATAAAGATCTGTGTATATCTCTAAGATCTAGGTTTATCTCTAAAGACAAATCACATGTATAAATACCTTACACATGATATGAATAAGATCAATGATTCCTAATCTCTCTACAGAGATACTTACATATTGAAACTTAAGACTTCATCACTTACCCATTTACTGAACGACCGTAATATAAACTTGTTTGCACCACCAACCAATGTATACAGGCTAATATCTGAAAGCCATCTATGAATGTCCTTTAAGCCATCTATGAACAGTAAAACCACCATCAGTACAGTTAAACTGCAGCTTTTTTTACTCATGTTGCAGGCTGTTCCTTTGTTTCTTTGTAATAAAATGATGCCAACAACGCTGTAAAACTTTCAAATTGGTGAATTTTAACATTTCACCAAAAGAGGATATGATGCATCAAAATTATACGAGACATAAAAGCATCAGTCACTTCGACGAAAAGAATAAACTGTTTGAAACAGATCTACAAAAAACTTAGTGTTCGTTTAATGTTGGACGAGGTGGTAGTGCATGTAACGGCTGAGAACATTAAAACAACACTTTTCCTTTTTATGCTTTAATTATATTTTTTATGATTTTTTAAAAATGAAACAAAACCATCAGTCAAAATATGATTTGTTGAATGGTTAATCTATCTTATGTTAAAAACTTAAAATATTTTGTTTTGTAGCAAAATGTATTGTTCAATATGTTTATATATACATAAACTATTTCATATTTTGTAAAGCATTGCTAAATAAAGAATTAATACACACTCGTGACTGACGTGCTTATTCCAATTTGATTATACCACGCACACCGAATGTAAAGTATCAGTTCTGAATTTTGTTTTTGTGATAGTATCTTCGTTTTTTAGAGCTAAGATAATATCTTTCTTATATGAAAAAGAATTTGATTTTGCTTTCTCTAGTTATTATACATAATTTTGATTTAGTAAATAAACAAAGAAATATATACTTTCTATTCAGGTAACATTTCAACAGGAATCACAAAGGGAAAGATTTTATAAATGTTATCATCATGATTTTTATTTTATTTTTGCCCGAACAAAAAAAAACAAATTACCAATTCGAAGGAAACCATACAAAATACAATACTTCTTTATGATAAAAGGTTAGTAAGATACTATATCTATAACAAAATGGATACAATATATAAATGTACATATATATATATACCTGTAATTTCATTTTTGTTGATACACTTTAGATAGTGTTAGATTTATGCTATTTCCCTATCTTTTGAAATCTGCTTCAGTAAATTCAATATATAAGTTTTGGGATATAATTTCTGGAAGAATGCAAAGACTACAAAATAAAACAGATATTTTTTAAGAGTAACATAAAAGAGAAAACTTTGATAATCCATTTTTCCTTCTCTGTCTCAGATTTTCGTTTTCGAAAAGAAGCATATATAAACTTGAGTTTTTTGAAGAAAACCTTGCACATAAGTGAGTTAGGTTCGATAGGCCATGAAAGAAATAGAAGAAAGAGTGAAAATCCAAAAATATTAAGCAAAATAAAAATAAAAAAATGTGATATGAATAACAACCCATCTCAGAGATCGAGACTAAGCCTTGCAGAGAAAAATGTATATTGTAGCAAGATGCAGTTATTATGTAACTTATACAGATATAAATTATAGGTAGTTAGTTGGACCAAAAAGAAAATATAGGTAGTTAGTTGTCTAGAGATCGTGGTGTGGAAAGAACTGTCGGCGAGGTGACCCGAGTAAATTTGTTTGATTTTGTCACACAAATATTTAAATTGACACATCCGGTTGAACATTTAGTTTTTTTTTCTTTTTAATTATTTCTAATTATGTGATAAAATATTATCGGTTGGGCGACTTACACTTTAGTCTATAAGGAATAATATTGTTAAGTTTTTGTCATACATTAATCATTGTGATACTCCGTTTATAAATATATCAAATGAACATTTATTATAACATATAAAACATGAAAACTATTCAGAAATATGAATTGAATATCCCTTAAAGTTTTAGACATATCATATGAATGTCTAATATATTAAATTTTAAATACAGTTATGTTTAGATAATTAATAATTTTTAAAAGAAACACCATACCATATATAAAACCACCAAAACGTTTTAAAAAAAAATCTTGCATATTTTAAAAACTATTTAACATATATCACAACTATTCACAAATCATAAATGTTTTACTAAAATCTAATATTTAATCTATTTGTATTATCATAAATGTTAAACTAGATTCTTTAAATATAATTAAATAAATTTACATTTAAAGAAAATTTATATAGAATAAAAATCTAAAATCAATAAATTAACATTAGATATATATTATATCTGGAAGCTATAAATATCATATACCACATAATTATTAAAATAAAAATGTTCACAGTAATGCAAATAAATCATAGAATACTAATATAGAAAATTATATATTTTTATAAATATAATGTAGATATTTTATTAACAAGGAATAAATTTTAAAATACTAAAATTATATCATTTAATTATTAAATTGGTCAGATTTGATGTTCTTACAATTGCAATTTTTGGTGGATTAGTCTGTCAAATAATTACTAATATTATCTTTAATTTATAAAATATTACATGTAAAACAGTATAGATTTATAATTTTATTTATAAAATATTAAAATAAATATAATCTGAGACATGTAGGATTAAATGTTATCTCCTAAAATATAAAATATGTAAATCAATGCAATATATATTAATTATTTATCAAATAGTTTTTAGAGCATCTGTTTTATTAAAAGTAAAAAAAAATTATTATCTTCAGTATAGTAAAAATTATCATATAGCAGACTTTTGAATATATATATTTTCCACTCATATTGAAAATGTTTTACGAACTCAAATGCTGAATATAATTGATATTCCCAAATTACACTTCAACTTTCATTTTCTTATTACTTTAAAACCTGATAATAAACTTTTAATAGATAATTTCAATTTAAAATTTAAACTCTTAAGTCGAACTTGTTTACTTTGAATAGATTGAAATTTAGAAACTGAATATGTATACCAAAATAAATTTGTTAACATATCTCAAACTTCTACATTTATAAATAATTATATTCAAAAAATAATAAATCATGAAATAGTTTGAAATTTTCGCCATTAAAGTGGGTTAGTACCTAGTTTAACTTGAATTAAACTTCAAGGATGTGAATCTTTGACATTTTTTATAGTGGCCACAATTTAGGTTAAATCTTGTTTTTTTTACATTTCTTTTAGAATAGGTTTGTATGGTAAAAGAAATAATGAACGTATAACAAATAGGTAAAGATAATTTTATTTTTAACAACTTTTTTAATTAAATTCCAACAACTAAGTTCGAAAATAAGCTATAAAAATCCAACATGCTAAACATATTAGATTTTAAACTTAACTGCTTCAGCACAAACAAAGCCAAACATGTGTATTACAAAGAAAACAAGACAAACAGTTCAACAATGTAAACAATAACCAAAAAAAACACATTTCTATTTTAATTTGAAAAAAAAAAATAAGTGTTGTGAAAACGTATGTCAATATTTAGTAATATATATACTATTATACTGACTTCTTTATACTAAAATCTTGATGTTTTAAGTAAAGATACCAAAATGAAGAACAGTCGAATTCAGATCAAATCTATATACTCAAGTCGGGAAAATGATCATTTAAATCCTCAAGTATTTGAAATTAACATTTTTATTCCTCAACTATTGACTATGCAATTAAAATCTCAAAGTGGTAGTTGACTTTATAAAATTAGACCCCTAATAAGTCCACGTTCAATTGTTAACGGTGAACGTTAGTTTACCTCATAAATTTCTTTTTAATAATTCTTTCATCTTTCTAAATCTTTTCTATTGTTATGTTCTTCCACAGAAAAAAAAATAAGAGTTGAATAACATGTTCGTATAGATCAGGGATGAAGATACGACATCTCAAAATCAGAATTCAGGATTTATTTAGTGTTACGTAGAACTTGAGGAGTGTATTTATGGAGACAAATCTCCAAGATGAACTTTGGTTCGATTAGAACTTATAGAGTGATTGTGTTGTAAATTAGTTTCCAGCAACTTTCTATCTTGTCTAGTTTTACGGTTGGTTACGACGTCTTATTCCGACAATCCAAAAGTTTTGAAACGCTCGATTTCTGCTTTTTAACTTCTCTGAAATCAAATTTAACATTTGCACCACCTTTGGTTTTTTGTTTTAAGGGATTGTGAGATGACATGATGTAAGAACATTTTAAGAGATTCATAGAGCTCTTCTATAGTCTGGGAAATTGTAACATTTTCTTTTTCTTTCAGTGTATTTTGGGGGAGGAAACAAAACTCTATTCTGTGACATGTAGTCATAACCAACATTTAGGTGTTTTTAATTTTCTATTTGGTGAGGAAGAAAGGGATCTTCTTAACACTAAAAACATGCATTGGTTGTTAACAATGGAGGATTACAGAGTTTGGGAAGAAATTGATTAAGAAGGAGCTTAAAAGAATTCATAACGTTCACCATTAAACATTTAACGTGGACTTTTTAGAGGTTTTATTTTGCAAAGTCAACTAACACTTCAAGCCTTTAACTGCATGGTTGATAGTTGAGGAATAAAAATGATAATTTGAAATATTTGAGGAATTAAATGATCATTTTCCCTACTCAAGTCACTAATAATTATGTCGCTAGAACATATTTTTTTACGTAAATCCTATAATAGAGAAAAATTTACTCCAAATCACCTCTATTTTACTTCTAAAATAAAGATTGATATTTTCACGTCTGTATTTAGATGAACTAAAATAGAGTTACTATTTAGGGTGGTTCATATTTATGTCATCTATGATTCTAAGGTATTTGATAAATATAAACTAATATAACAAAAGAGAAGCACAAATTAATTGATGCAATATGCTAGTTCAGTTTAGGGTATTCTATTAGACCCACATTGGAGGAAGCACACATGTATACTTTAGCTTAATCAACAGTGTTTGGAGCATGATTACTATCTTGCTCGGGAACTTCCTAGAATTCTTCAGATTACTGTGAACCAAAATTGTAAAAGATTTGCGCAGCATGATTTTAACAAATGTGGGTTCTTTTTTGTCAAAAATTACTTGCATTACTCAAACGAAACATAGTTTATCCTTCAAGAGAAAGAGGAGAAGAAACAGCCATAGCAAGAGCCGACTTTGCCACACAGTCGGCCTCCGCATTGTATAGACGAGGAACAAAGAGAAACAACACAGAGTCAAGAACAGAGCTAAAATGTGGGTTTAGTAATAGTATTTGACAACTGGATAAGTATTACTTCATTTATTTCAATATATTGCATATTCTAGATTTTTCACACATATTAATAAAACATCTAGTTAATGTATAAATTTTTGTGATTATCTTTTTTCCATAATTTTAAATTAATAAAAATTCAATAAATGCAATTAAAGGTTTTGAAGGTTGTAATTAATTATTATTATTTAATAAAACATGGATTGGAAATACAAAAAAAAAATGAATCTTTGAATGGTTTCAGACTTCATCGAGACTAATTCACAAGCTAGATATACTAGATAGGGGAGATTTATGTAAATAACTATTTTATGCTGACACATGGCCCAACAACTTTGTCCAAATTTGTTGATGATTTTCGTTCAAACAAATGTCATATTAGAGATATGAAAGAAAAAAACCCAAAATAAGAGCATCACTAAAACTTAACAAGTAAGCTTGTTAAATCTATTATATCAAATAAAAAGTGAAAATTAAGGGCGTTAGTAATTACAACCAAATTCCTTTCCTAAAGTTGAGGTTAAAATTAATGAAAAGTAAGACTCTACCAATATATAAGGGATCGTAATGTAGTACGCCTTCTTCCTATTTTCTTCATATCTTGGAGTTTTATCATTTTGTGTGAGTATTGTTAATTTTTTTTTGGTCTACGCTTTAATTTTCTTTGCGTCAAAAGATAACGCTATACATAAAGTCTTTCAGAATTTGCTTATGATGTTTTTGTTAAAAAAACCTACAAAAACTCTTCTCAGATGTTGGTTATTTTATTGGTTTCAAAAGTTTTCACTTTGTTAGCAATGGTTTTTTAATCTTTGTGGCACCTAGTTATGATTTAAGAGAGGAATCGTTTTTTGATCTAGGGTTCTTCTTTCACTTTCTTGTATACGATTTGACTGTATTTCATTTAATATATACTCGCTTTGCACAATTCGGTTTCTCTCTCAATTCTTGAATCTATTAAAAATAATAAAAGACGAAGTATAAATTCCAAAGTTTGATCACTTAGGCTGCGACTTCCTTTTTACCTTTATTGTTAAACAAACCTACTTCAAATCATAATTATCAAGTTATTCAGACCTTTTCTGATGAATTCGATTTTATTTTGATATTCATTGTTAATGGTGTTGGATGTTCATCTATATTTCTTTGTTTTCTTTTTCTTATTTAGGGATCTGGACTGCAAACAAAAATTGAAACAAGAAATTACAACTATGGTTTCAATCACTCATAACGATGATCAGATTGTGGAATCCAGAGAGATCGCACCAATATCTTCACCTAAAAACACAAATGACTCTAACAATGATGAACTGAATGATACTGATGAGGAAGAAGTACATAAATATTCTTGCTTATAGTCGGTTAACCAGATCTATAACTTAAGCTATTGATACCATGTTATATCGAATGATTTTTTTTTTTTTGGCAGGTGAACGTGTGTGATATCTGTGGTGTTCAAGGATTTGTAGATAAGCTTATCATTTGTCATAACTGCGGAGTTGGTGCAGAACATACGTAATGATTTATCTATGTAATTATTATATAGTAAAAAGGTTATACTTTGAGCATTTTTAATCATATTTTCGGTTATTGCAGTTATTGCATGGGTGTAAAACCTGAGGATGTTCCCGAAAACTGGTCTTGCGATGACTGTGTTGAAGATACTGGCGTGTTTGAGGTAATCCATAATTTCATCTTAGTTACGAAAAAAAATTAAACCATATTGGAAACTAAAAATAAAGTAAACAAAGATCACTTTTGCTTTGTTTCCTCTTGCAGATCGGAGAAGGTAGTGGAGTTCAAAAGCAAAATGATTTACGCAATCCAAAGTCTTCTGAAACTGTAGGTCGGGCCTTGAACATAGAGCCTAACCTAAACCTGAATCCTAACATAGATCTCAATCAAGATCCTCCCATAGATCTGAATGTGAACCCTAACCTTAACGTGAATCCTAACATAGATCTCAATGTAGATCCTTCCATAGATCTGAATGTGAACCCTAACTTAGACCTGAATTTGGATATGAACCTTGATCCAAACCTAAGCCTGAGAGAGGATAATAACTTGGACCTTTCTTTAGATGGTGGTTCATCTTCTAGGCCAAGTTCTACTAATAACTCCCAAGCTCATAAGCGAACGAGAGCGTCTCTGAATCCTTCACCTGGGCAAGGATCTCTTGAAGAAGAAGAAGACCAAGATGCAAAGAGGCCTCGTGTGGATACTCGACTCTCTCTATGAAATGGATTTGAGAAAAAAAAATATTTAGTATTTTCCTATTGTTCTGCCAAATAAATGTTTTTAATATATTGATAATTTAAATTCTAAATTTCTATATATCTATAAAACTGAATAAGATTTATTTATGTTATAATGTAAATCTATGGATAACTTGTTTTAGAGGATTAAAAAAAGAATATGAATTAAAATTTTCAGTGGATTATATGGTATATATAAAAAAGGAATGATTTAGTAATAAAAATGGGATTGCCATTGACCAAAAAAGATTGCCAAAGATTTCTTAACACTGGTAGATATGGAAAGAGACAACATGCAGATGTCTTCAATCAGAGCCAAGCAACTCCATTGTTTCAGACAAGGATAATATGCACATGGTGGTGCTGCTACATTAATAAAGTCTGAAAGAATCTGATATTCATGCAGGCCAATGATGGGTTCGTACAAAAGAGGGTAACGAAGCAGCAATAGCGAGAGTAATAAATCTTTGATGTAGTCTTACACCTTTCCATGTGGAATTTGAAGCCATGATTTGGGCAATGCAGTGTATGATCGGTAATCGAAGACAAGATGTGGTTTTTGCAACAGACTATTTTGTCCTGGTGAATATCAACACCGACAGATTGACTTGCGTTTTCCACTCATTTTGAATAATTATTTATTCAATGTAAGAGTTTCTTCCCAGACTTTGCTATTTATACAGATTTCAAAAGCAAATAATACAAAGGCCGGGGAATTAGCAGGCAGTGCTCATACGATAGGGTTGAGGTCATACCATGATTATTGATCTGAGGCAACAAACACACAGAATAGCAGACATACGATACTTTTTGAGAGAAGTACAAGTTATTTAAAGGAAGACTGTTAATTAGACCTTAAGAATGCATTTGAGCATGTATTAATTTAATACCTCTTGATGAAAAAGAGCCAGAAACTAGAACATCTGAGTATCACTTTTCCTCTATGTTGTAGCTTGCCAAGTTGAGGTGCAGCAAGAAAAAAAAAAGAGAAGTTCTAGCATAAAATACTTTTACAGGTCCTTTTCAACATCAAAACTTGGCTTTCTCTTAATCCTCCTCCTCCTAATGTTCCATGGTATGCATCTGTTTGGTTTAAGCAAAACGTCCCCAAGCATGCTTTCACTACATGGCTTCTCTTGAAAGATCGGCTGCATACAAGGGACAAGCTCAGAATTTGGGGTATCACTAACTGTGAAGCTTCCACTAATTTGTTCTTTAATTTTCAGTATTCTCACGAGTTTATGATTATCGTTTCCCCTGCACAATTCCATAAGTTGGGTGTGGAATACTCATCGAAAGAAGAAGCTCAAAATTATTATGCCTTAAAAATTTCAAGGTTGACATTTACTCTATTGGGAGAGAAAGGAACTCCATATATTAAACACCTCTATTTTTAAACCAGTCCATGTTATAAGAAAGAGACCCAACTCGTGTTTCAAGAAAAAAAAAAATAGAGACCCAACTTCTTCTTCGTCAATCAAAAGCTTCTCTCTATCAGAACAACTAGTCATTCGATGGAGACCTTCTATAACTTATTCTACCTCTGTTGCTTTATTTTCATAACAACTTGCGTTCTAAGCTTGTATTTCGAAATGGTACCCCTTTTGGGAAGAAAAGATGAATAAAAGTATGTTTAAAAGCAAATAAAAACTTGTAATTTCGAAAACGATGTAACATGTGTGCCCTCAACAATATCGACATCTCATACACACGAGTAAGAATGTAAGGTTGGCTTATGGACTAAACATTTCTTGGATATACTATATTGGTAACAAGAAGATGAAGTTGAATATCAAATTAAATAGACATGTGGCAAAATAGTCTAGATCAATTAGTAAAAAATGTAAACGCTATTAAAAATTATTTAGTAATATTCTCTGAGACAAAAGAAAAATCTATGTGTTACTTTTCTAGTCTTTATATTGGTTAGTTTTTTTTTGTGCCTTTTTGAGATGAGACGGTGGCAGATGAGTTTTGGCTAAGAGTGCTAACGTTTTAGCTTACAAGACTGAGTAAAGTTTAAAAAATAAGTAAATCTTAAGACATTACAAAATCAAGAACATTTTAAACCTGAGTTTATATACGTTTACATCACATAAATAATTCATTATTCATTTAAAACATGATTGTTAGACCCATATTATAGACGCACACGTGTTAACTTTATCTTAGTCTCTAATGGTGTTTGAGCTTGTGTAAGAACTGGAAGTTTTACTGTTCTCCTGCGATGCTACTAGCACAATTGCCAACAAAAACTAGTTAGGATGTCTGATACTAATAGTCTTTGATGAGTGGATAGCTCAGATTTTCTAGAACTGTTTCAGGTTTCATACCCTTGTCCAATTTCAATGATTAATTTTTCAAAAAAGTCATACAAAAACATCCATAAATGAAAACATATTTATAATTATAAATTTACGAGTAAGCCTGATGGTAAATATATTCAAGAAAATAAAGAAAAGGGGGAAATTAAAGGGAGAAAAAAGAAGAAGTATATACAGTCAATTTTACCAAAAAAATAGTATACAGTCAAAGGCATTTCCAAATCTGAGAATCAAATAAGGAAGGAATATAAGGGGAGAAGGAAATGAATCTAGGACCCTGACTTTTCTTTGTCTATAAAGTTAACTCTTCTTCGTCTTATTTGCTCCACATTTTGTAGTTCAATAGTTCATTTTCTGTAAGTTTTCAACATTATTATTTTTAATTATGCTTTGATTTTCACTTTCTCTTTGCATTGTAAGATAATGATCTAATTTTCCAGAAATTATTGTTTCTGTTTAGATTGTTTTTGGTGAAAGGCTTTTAAAGACTCTTCTCAATAGTTAACTATTTTATGTATACGCTAACTGTTTAATGTTTTTTTCTCTATTTCTACTGTTTTAGAAAACCTACTTCAAATCATAATTTCCAATTGTTTTTTGATGAATTGGGTTTAGAGATTCGTTTTTAATGGTGTTCGAGATTCACTAACTTAAAAAAAAAAAAAAAAACAAATTTTACAGATTCCAACAATTTAAAACATCAACCATGGTTTCAAACACTCACGAGGACGGCCAGATTGTGGTAAATATATTTTATGTTAATCAAATATGTTGTAGCGTCTGTCCTTAATTTTCATGATAATGAATTTGATAACGGATTTGTATTTGTAGAATGGGGAACAATTGAAATCTTCTGAGCAACATGATAACGACAATGCTGAAAACAGAGGAGTTGTGGCAGAAGATCTTCCTTCCGATAATGAAGCCATAGCCGTCGACAATGAAACTGAATTGGCTCATATTGAGGAAGAGGTGCGCGATGATTTTCTTGATAATTTAGTTTAGCCGATCTTTAACATATGCTTGTTATCACGTCGAATGATATTTTTGCAGATTAATATATGTGATACATGTGGTGATAAAGGATTTCAAGATTTACTAGTCATTTGTAGCAACTGCGAAATTGGTGCTGAACATACGTATGTAATGTATTTTTCAAGTAATATACAATGTTTTGATTATGCAATTATACAACAAAAGTTTATTAGTATATTTTTTTATCATCTCTTGGATTATTTTAGTTACTGCTTGACGGTAAAGGTCGCCGATCCCCTGCGATGGTTATGCTATGACTGCACTGAAGATAATGATGGAGTGCCAGATGGAGAAGATACTAGCTCTATGGAAAGGAAAACTGAATCCTTTATTGATTTTTTTGAGGTTATCACTAAAATCAAACGTATTTAATACACATAACAATTTTACAAGTTTTTTTTTTCCTTTTGCAGATGGAAGAAAGAAGATTATCTCAAAGAAAAAGAAGAATTGGACGTCCTAAGGTAAACCATAACACACAAATATCCGCAAAAATATGTTTCTCGAAACTTATTTTTTATGAGGCAAAATAAAAGTCAAATCTTTGTAATCCAAAAAAAATGAACATGAGTCTGCATTTGTTTCTTTTTCGCAGATGGCAGGAGAAGCATCATCATCTCAAGCTGATTTTGTAAAGACAAAAAGATGCAAAAACTCATGGTTCGACTTGAACAAAGATCCTAACCCAGATTTTGACGAAGACCCTAACATAGATCTAAATGTGGATCCCTAATAAGTACTTATCCAATTATCGTGAGATTGTTCTTTATCTATTTGGTTGAATTTTTTACTAATTTTTAAAATAATAAATCAATAAAAATATCATTAAGTTTTTTAAGGTTGGTTAAATATAATATTACAAACTATATTACGATTCTATATCCGATAAATTTACATGTCTTATGTGGTTTTCGTCTGATTACCACCGTATATGTCCTATGAAATTCACGTTATTTGTACCATATTGAAGATTTCATGTAATTTTTTTTCCAATATTATGTATAATTCATTTTATTTGATATTCAAATCCCAAACATCTTGATGTACAACATTAATGAATCCTTCATCAAAACATTAGACTAAGATAGCTTCTAAAGTGACACTAAATTTATTTTAGAACAACAATGCATGTGCAAAGAAATTTTGACTACAAACTCTTCCTTTCTAAATAGACTTAAAAAATTGTAATTCATAACAAAACAATAAATATATAAAAATATATCCCAAACAAAAATACAAATAAAAGAAAAATGTATATATTTTTATCCATATTCTTACATAACTGATGTAGTCACCGGTTTTTCATATTTTTAGAACTCTCTTCAGCGCCTGGTAGCTATCCTTGTTAGCTCTTAAAAAAAACATAGTGTCATCTGCAAAGAGGAGATAGTTGACTCGAGGGCATGCTCTCGTCACCCGGATTCCTTTGAGGGAATCCTCTTCGTTAGCTCTGTTACAAAGTCTCGAGAGTACTTCACATAAGATGATAATGTAACTTTGTAAAAAAGCTAATTTTAAATTAGCACTATTAAACAATTCCAAGCTTTTTGATCAAAAAGGTCACTGAAAAATTATTAAGTTCATGTGTACAAATTGTTACACTAAACATTTGAAGTAGAAATAG